ATTACTCTGTTTGAAAGAGCTTCCCACAAACTTTTAAGCAACTATATGAGACTTCCCCATAGTTTTTAATGTTTATTTTTTAAAAAGTTTCAGTAAACATTTTACATGAGACACAAAGTTCCTTCAAGTACAAAAAAGTTTCTAAACACTGGACCACTTGAAAGAAATAATATGAACAAACTTTCACGAACAAATTGACCTCAGATGCTTTCATCTGAGAACTCAAAACGTGATGGAATACAAACATGAAAATATACACAACAACAGAGTAGAAATAATTTACACAAGGTCTTACTCTTCCCCATTTGAGCTGTTCTGACACACTAGTACTTTGTAAGGGAAGTAATTGTTTAACCAATCTTGCCACTTTCAAATCTAACATAGAAAATTGCTTCTTGCCAGAGCTCTTAGCTCATTTAAGTGACATATATTCTCTTCTTAAGGGAACTCCAGATGTTGCCCTTTTACACATTTGCAGTTCATCACATTGCCCTGTCCTCTTGCATAAAGTTTATTGTGTAATAGCCACCTTCATCCTCTCTCCTTTAGAGATCCCATTGCTTTTGCAGCTTTGAGACTACATTGTGTCTCAGGATAAAAGTGTCTTTTTGGATAAAAGCCTGGAAGATGTTGGCTCTAGAAACAGCACTGTTTTCTATACAGCACAAATTATGGCATGTCTACTGTAGGTGTTGGTAAAGCTCTGCCTCAACTCTGAGGGAAGCAACAGCAGATACTGAGAACTACCAAGAGTAACTTCAGTTGTGAAGGTAAGAAAAATCATAGAACAGTACCCACTGCAGTAAGAGATGGGCTTATCAGTGTGGTGTTAGAAGTAGGGCAACATCATGGGCAGAGCTGTGGGGAAAAAAAACAAAAACAAACCAATCCCAGCAGCCTTCAAAGTATGAGGCAATCCACTGCTGTTGACAATTATCAGTAGAAGAAGAATTTGTGCCCTGTAGTATTGGGATGCTAAGAACAGCTCTTGTTCTACTGTCAAAACACTAGAACAAACAGCAGATATTTTCAGCTTTGTAGGACCAACTGTACAGCCTTTAACATTTAAAGTCTTCATGCACTGATTAATGCAATAATATCAAAGGATACTCCCTTTAAGAATTGACTGCACCATGTTTGATTTCTCATCCAGAAGTGGAAGAGGCTACTAGTACTCATTTCCTGTATTGATCACAGAAGGAAAGAGGACTTTTGCTTCCTCAGGAAAAACACTGGTTAGTTATTTATGCCAATACAAGCACTTAAAAGGGTTTTGCTGGAGGAAGGAAACAAAAAAAACCTGAGAAGTATGAAATTAAGTTTTTGATACATCTATAGTCTTTCAGCAGAAGTGATAAAATTAAGCAGAAATAACAGGTTTATGAAGGTCATATGGCACCTGGTTATATGGCTTTTAGTTAAGCATAATAACTTTAGCTGCTGTCACTTAATTTTCTAACAGTTAACATACTTAGGTCCTCAGAGTGTTGATATAGCAGAGGTGAAGCTTTTCCCCTGGCTTGTGGTTTAGCTCTCCCCACTTTCTAGATCTTGCTGAGATGGGCACGGTTGAATGATCTCTTTCTGCCTAGGCTGCGAAGCCCAACTTCTAGACAACCCGCCCCTCCATGCCAGTTTCCCCCATTTGAAATGCTTCAAAGTGACATGCCCTGGCTCTCATTTTTAGATGCATCATCATGTTTAGACAAAGTATGAAAATGCCCACATGTATCAGAGCAAAGACTTCTGGAATGAGTTACACTGAAACAAAAACAAGTGGTCAGGAACTGTTTTTACATACCAGTTCTCATGGCAAAGCAAACATGCTTATCCACTTTTGTTATGTATCTACAGTGTACTAAGGACACTAAGTAGCACTAGCTTTGAATCAAAACCTAGGTGATACAGATGTAGGATAGTCAGCTGCCATTATCAAGTGAGAATATAGGCAAGAGACCACCACTGACATTAGGTCCAGTAACAAGATGTTTATTTGGCAACCTGGTATACTCTTGAATCCATTTCCATGCAGCCACTGCTTTACAGACCAAGTAACTAGTTAACAAAGCAGTGTTACAGATTCACAGATTAAGGTCAGTTTATATTTGTCCTAACACTGATTTAGTCATTTTATGGTATTAAAAAGTGCTCTACCGAAGTGAAGAAAACAAGAACTTATTTTGATTAGGTGTTAAGTAAGACCTACTCACAGGAAGAGTGAAGGACCAATGAACTAGTATCCCTAAACCCACAACTCATAAAAATCAAGCTGTGCTGGCCACCTGTACTGTCTTCTTTTAAATGAGGAAGGTGGTATATCTAGTGGCTGGTCTCAGCCCCTTATAGTTTACTTTTCCCAGCTGGGTTCTGCTCAAGCAGTACAACAGCACTATCATACATTAGCTGTAAATAACTTTTTATGGAAGCTAACATTTTTAGTAATAGACCTGCACAAATTTCATATAAAAAAAAATATTCTAGTCTCTGTGATTTTAAGTTGAACCATTTCCTACACCATAAGGTGGGAACCTTATGACACAAGGCTCAGTTTTAGCTGTCTAATGGCAACTTCCAAGCATGTAATACACAACCTGACAATACTAGAACGTTAGCGATGTTAGAACATAACCCTTAACAATGGATTTCAGTGTTCTCCCATAAAAGAAGCAAGGTTGGAATGCTTCAGCAGTTCAGCCAAGTTTTATCTTCCTAGTAGTTTAGATATTTAGTCCAGCATGACTGCTATTAGAGACAGTTTAGATTTAATCCATGTCCAAAGCAATACTAGAATGTAGTGTTAGCAAGAGATGCTACAGATACTGTGTTGTTGTTCAAGTGGTTCACTAGAACTTGAGACAAACATGACCACTGCGGAAGTGGGAATTCCCACTTCACTGCGCTGCTCTTACTCATTTTATTCCATATGCCGTTTACTCCGACGCTTTCTCTAATCATTTTAGGATAAAATGTCTGAAGTCTCAGATTAAACAGTTGGTCTGCATGGTTAAGTTTAAAACTTGAACAGAACGGCTTTATAGAAAAGAGCTCCAGCTAAGTATTTTGAACAAGATTTTTTGCACAAAGGATTTACATTAAAACCCTATAAAAACAAACATCATAATCTGAAGTGAACTTCAGATTGAATCTGAAATGATGATTGGAAGCCTAAAATTTTGAATAAAGTTTAAAATTGTACATCATTTTCTTGGAGGAGTAAATGCACATCTTAAAAAAAATATATATTAAAAAAAAAAACAAAAAAACAAAAAACGCATCAGTCCCTTGATTGTTACAATAGGTTTAGTGTCTCTGGTGGGTCAATGAGCGATACTCCATGATACCTGAAGGAGAAAAGGGCAAAAAGGTAATTTCGTTAGAGCTCCAACAAAGGGGGATAAGCTGAAAGGTAACTCAGTCCAGGATTAATGAACAACTTTGTGACAGCAGAACCAGAAAGGTATTCAGTGTTGTGGGGTTAGAAGGTTGTTTAATGCAGAAGGGACTATAACATTTGTCCCCTCCTGAGTAACAGGTCAGCATTTCACCAAGCCATTCTCTAATGCAGTGTTTCCCAACCAGTGTGCCACGGTACAAAAGTGTGCCATCAGAAATGAACAGGTGCGCCATGGAATTTTGCCATGGCAATGAGCTACAATAGGTATGAGGGTGGGGAATGCCTTAACTGGTGCAGCGTAGAAGTTTTTTAAATGCAAGCGTGCCTTGGGCTGGAAAAGGCTGGGAAACACTGCTCTACTGGTCTCAACTTCTGAGTAGTGACATTAAGGTAGACACAGGACACCAGACCCATTTTGAATGGGGTTAGTTCACATTAGAAAACAACCCCAAAAAACCTCCCAAACCACTGTATGGACATTCATCATGCCTGTCAGAGCGCAGAGAGGAACAAGTATTGGCTCTACTTACTCAGAATTAGGTTCACTATACTGGTTAGGCAGTGTGGGACCCTAACGATTAACTGGTTCAGACAGGAATGAGTTTCCTTAGGCAACAGTCTACTAACCAGGTGCTTACATAGCAGCTGTCAGCAGCTTAAGGCTGTCAACTGAATTGACCCAGTTCGGGTCAAAGTGGGCAGGCACTAGAACCCAGATGCCACTGTTCTCCCTTCCCACCCTCCAAACAGATTGAGGTGCTATCTTGCCCTGCCTTCTGCTAAAGTGGCTTAATACCCACGCCAAGCTAACATAGCTTAAACACAGGGGTGGGCAAAATGTGGCCCGCGGGCTGGATGTGGTCTGCCAAGCCATTCTATCCAGCCTGTGGGGCCCCTAAAAATTTAGGAAGTTAATATTAAATCTGTCCTGGGCTGCCTGTCATGCGCCCCTCGATGGCTTGCCAAAGTTCAGTAAGCGGCCATCTGCCCAAAATAATTGCCTGCCCCTGCCCTTAACACGTGTTGTGATTACTTGAATACGTAATCACTCATTTTTTGTAGATACTTACTTTGCATTCTTGTATTTCTCTCTTACAGACTGTTGTGTGTGTTGTGCTGCTTTGAGGTAGGTCTTGTGAAGGTCTATAAGACAAGGCTTGAGGCTTTCAAGTGCATATCCTGTCGTTCTGGACAATGATTCAGGCTAAGGGACGAAGAGACAATTGGTTTGAGACATGTACAGTGTTGTCAGTTACCCTAGACAAAACCATGCCATTTGAACTGCAGAGACTGTTACTCAAATGGGTAATATATTCTCCTACCAGGAGATACGTATAATACAAAGCTTTTGCGAGCTGAAGCCCTACACTCAACATGAGCAGTTTTTGCAGGAGTTATATTTGGCTAGCCAGGAACTTGTTTAAGGGCAGGTGCTAGTTGTTGCATTTGCTTCTATGTAGACTATAAATCTCAGTTGGTGTTAGTTCTACATACCCAGGTTTGTCCAGTGAGTGTGTAGCTTGCTAGATGAAATGAAGCAGCAGCAATAACTGATGGCAAATATTGAAGGTATGGGTCAGCATCAATTAGGCTCAACTCCCCCAGATACTGTAACATTTGAAAACAAGTAATACTGTTATACCACATCCATGCAAGACTACAGCATTTGGCATATTCCTTATAATTTAAAGCTTCTTCTAGCCACCAGTTTTAGAACCTTCACTATAATGAAGGTATGGAGTTATCCAGCATCTACTCTTGTGGATGAGATTAAAATGTTACAGCAATTGTTAGCTTACTAGCTGTGAGGATGAACTCCCTCATACCAAATTTCTCTTTCATTTGTAAGGATCCTCAGACTTCTTGACAATTGTTCAGATATCTACCATTGGGGTCATGCCATTCTTCATTTACAGACCGCTTCACAGCTATGTGCTTTGTTACTGCAGTATCCTTTTGTAGGGATCCATGCAGAGTACCTTTATGACAGGACAGCATGGGGGCTATTTCTCTTTAAAAGCCCTAGGTCCCCAGTGTCCACCACAGGGTTTTGATAGAACTTCACTGTGGTCAAAGGTTGATGTAGGATGTTTTGCAGTTGTACCGACTCCCTCCCTGGGACCAAATGGTAAGCTTAACAACAGTAGCAGATGAACCAGCATGTACTTTACTCTTAAGGCTAAGCCAGTATTTCAATGCAAGTGTGTACCAGCAATAGGCAGTTGATTTTAGACCACTACTGTAATAGTCCAAGTGTTCCCTCAGATTGTTAGATCATCAAACATGTGCAAATCACCAACTCTAGGTTGGCACATATGCCTAGAATGAAGCTCCCATGAGGCTCCCCAATGGCATTGACCCAATTTTGCCTAGCGTCCACATGTCAGCCAACGATGGCTCTCTGAAGTAGTTACCAGTTTTAGTATGGTTTGGGACAGTGGCATAAAGCTGTAAGAGTTAACTGTCACCCTACTAATAGTTAGTTACCAAGGGTTTTTACTAGCAAATGCTTCAGAGATACAAAATGCCAACTGCCCCCTCTGGAGATCTAACAAGGATGCAAACTTGATGTTTTAGACCTCCATATTTTCTGGTCGTTAGAACTCTTAAGAATGGGTAAATATTTGTTACCAAGTGGCATTCCCTCCTTTTCCATAGGAAAAGAAACGCCCCAACCTACTCTGAAGTAGTAAGATGGAGCTTTCCGATTGCACATTGGGCTTAATGCCAGATTCACACTTACCATCGATAAACTTTCAACTTTAGCATTTGCCTGCTGGTGCAGAAAGTACTGAGTAAGGAACTGATTTATTGTTGGAGCTGCCAAGTCAAATGACAAGACTTTCAAAATTAAGTGTTCCATCCTTAATACTTGCTTCTTAGTATAGGTGTCATCTGTGATATAGACAAATTCTGCAACTTCCGGAGGGTAAATTTCTTCAAACTTTCTATGATTAGGAAGTATAAGCAACTTGTTACATATACTTAGAAAGAGGAACAGGTCTATCAACCAGTAGTTCTCTCCCTCCCACCCTAGTCCAACATAAGTTAGCAAGATAGGAGCAACTGTTTCCTGAGAGCTCAGCTCTACTTATATAACCTATTCCTAGTACATGACTAACTTAGTATAAGTAAGTAGTTAACATTAAGTCCACACATTAAAGTTCCTGTAGGTCTAAGAATCTTGGCAAACCCATAAAAATTCCAGTATGAACATGATTTCTGTTTCCTTCCACATTTTTGTAGACTATAGGGCCCAAGACATTCCAGGTATTATTCTGGAACAGTTCTAGCTACACAAGTCTGCAGACCAGGTCAGAAGCCAGGTGCATTAGATACTCAGATTTTTTTCATTTATTAGTAAATATGAAGTCATTTTCCAAAAGATTTAAAAACTTGAACATAGATATCTTAAGGCTTCTGGTCAGAGTTTTGAAAGGACACAGCTTTAAGATAGTCTTTCCCTTCCCCTATGTGTCTCTCTCTCAGCCTCATTCTAAGAGCAATGATGTCAAATTAACTTACGATGCTAGCAGCATAGCTGCAGTACCCACAAGCTGAAGCTTTCCTCTCAGAACAGACATTGAAGAAAGAAATCTATCAATGTAATTTACAGCTAAATGCAGGGTTTCATTCTGTAGTTTATATTCTTCTCCTACTTCCACCAGCCAGTCCACAAGAATAGCTCTCATATTGTTTGTTATGTCAGGCTGTTTCTTCATATAGTTAGATTTAGGCTTGCATTTCACCTGTTAAGAGAATTGTTAGTATATGTGAGATATTAGCACTGACCCTGGCAGAGAAGTTACCTGACCAAAAATGCAACAAAGATGGGAGAATTTAAAAACCACCCTCCACTAACATACAAATTAAATACTTGTACTATACGTAAAGTAGAATCCAAATACTGGTGCTCAAGGTCCTTCAGAGTCCATTCTCAAGCCCTTTCTTTTATGTTCAGTGCATATTCCAGCCAGGTTTTTTTTATTCTAGAAGGGCTCAACAGGAAGCTCACTTTTCTTCCCCTTTCCCCTCAGTCTGTTCTCCAATTATAAGCTCCTACTTGAGCTGCCACCCCTCCAGGGACTAGACCCACAAGCCTCACCATCCTGAGCTAAGCTGCCTTAAAAATTTAAACAAAATCATGGCATCTTACCTCCATTTCCCTAATGTATTTATGGATATCATCAATGTAGTCTGGCACATGATTAACATTTACTCTTTCTTCCACATCTTGGATTATAGATATATCCATAATACTTGGAGAATCTAAGTGCAAGACAGTAGTCACATTAAACCTACAGAAGTTCTCAGACCGCATGGTACAGTGACTGCATTGAGCAGAACGATTATGTTGGTGACCCAGGACCTAGGGTTTTTTTTGTTTTTGGCATTTTGCCTTTTTTGAGCCACCTAGGCTGCACTAAGAACAGAGAGATGTTGCAAAGGGCTTTTTCATCTATGGGGTGGGAGAAAGAGAAAGAAAAATTGGTGGAAGACGCTTCATACTAGCATAGTAAGCTATCTTCATAGGAGTATGGACCTGTACTCTGAAGTGGAGCCTGCAAGTCAGGGGACAGCCTGATGTTAGCATGTATTTTAGCTGAAGCCATAAAATTAGGCAACTGAGAAGTCTTCTGCCAGAATTTTTTAATTGGGCAGACTGTTGGACTTCTCTTGCCTTATGTTATTTTAGTGTCTACCTGAGCTACCCTAGTTTTCTAGTCGACTTGCCAGAACCATTTAGTACTTGCACAAATGGAAGTTTCCAGTGTATATTCTAGTTTCTGCAACTTGCACTAGGTCTTTAAAGCCTTTCAGAGTTTGAAGCTCTGAGCTGCTACAGCCAGACTCTGACAAGGCTGAGAGTTCAAGAGGGCCAGCAGCTCATAAGTAACAGTAGCAAGAAGAGTGAGGAAATTCATGGGAAAGCAAATAGGTAAGGCACAGGGAAGGGATATCTGGCTGTTTCAGGGATTCAAAGCTTGTAAATTACAGGCTAAAGGAACTGCCGGACTCAGGGAATCCCCAAAGCTGGTCTAAGAGTTGCATGCAGATGCGCAAGCAACATTTTCATAAGTTAGCTTTTCATAAGACACCAATGGAGAACAATGACTTTAGGGACACTTGGAATATCAGTTAAAAAGAGGATATTTAGGTTGTAGAATAGTGCTCACCCACGGTGGACAGCCAAGGCAGACAATTCGCTGCAGGATCTGGGACAGAAGTTTGAAATCCTGCTCTATCCTAAACTGATTAAATCTAATACAGCGTCTATCTTAGACCAGGTCCCCCCCATTTTGAAACCGGTTTGCACATGCTAAACTTCTGTTACAGCTTTACATCATTTTCTGATCATTTGTACCAGTTTATGTGCAATGTCTGTACCTCGCCTTATAGGCCAAATAAGATTTTTAGGGGGCAGGGGAAAGGAAGCAGGGAAAAGAGAAAGTGAAAGCAAGCTTTTGTGAACCCAAGTTCATGTCATCAACTGCTGTCGTAGGGTGCTTTAGAGGGATGGTCCTGCTTGGAGCAAAGGACTAGACCAGAGCATGTGGTGAAGCTCCTTCCAGCCTTAATTCCCTGTAGGCACCTACACAAGTGTAGAGGCTGCTCCGATGTGCCAGAACAGACTCAATTAATAGAGTCTGCTGGAATACAGCAACAGCTGTGCTCCAGCAGCCTCCTGCATCTCATGCATCAGTGTTCCTGCACTTAAAAGTGCTTTAAATTCAAGTGCTCCTGCTGCCATTTTTAAGTACAGGGACACCGATACGTGAAAGTTTGTGGTGCTTTAGTTAGAGCAGCTCTCAGAGCCGCAAAGTGCAGCTCCTCCAACACATGTAGAAGAGCCCCAAGATCCTAATCTTTGTCAAGGATGGTTTGAGGGGGTTTAGCCATGGTAGCCTGAAGTCAGGGTCGACCTGCACCTGCACAGCCTGAGAGCGAGAACAGGAGTGCAAGCAGGAGGATGTGAGCAAGCCAGAGCACAAGCTTTTGTGAACCTGAGTTTGCTTCCCCAGATGCCGTCCTAGGACCATGGAGAGAGGGACAGTCCCGCCCAGAGGAGGGGGCTACGAGTCTGGGCTGGAGCAAATGCAGTTCCTGCCCCCTCCCGTCCTGGGTGGGCACCCCCTAATCTGACCTGCGCCTGGACAGGCAGGGAGTGTGGGGGGACGACAGGGGGCGCCAGCCAGAGCCAGGTTTCCACAAGTCAGGTCCCCTTCCCTCGGGGGCAGAGCAGCTCCCCCCGCCCCCAGCACCTGCTTGGGAAGGAGAAGGAGGAGCCGCCGCCCGGGCCGGCCCCGCCCCGCACTCACCGC